CGCACCAAGAAGCTAAACACAGGCATAGATTAAGGTACTTGCAAGCCACAATTACACAGACAAGCCATATTACTTAACAGAACCCTATCAGGTCAGCTTTGAGTCACTGAAAATGAGTTTTAGATGCAAATGGGTGTAATGGACATTTTTACCCCTAAATCCTAATTCTCATCAATTCTCTAAAATTCAAGGATCCTTCCTGCTTTGCACACCTCATGGGTTATGTCGCCAAATAATCGGTCCCCAAACAAAAAAAGCAAACCGAAGAGGCACAGGTAAACTGAGGACATCTCTCAGAAAGACACGGGTGCCTTTTTAAATATGTACCCCGGGGCCGAGGATTTAGCTCAGTGGTTCCGGCGCCTGCCTCGCAAGCGCAAGGTCCCGAGTTCGATCCCCGGTACCAAAAATAAATAAATAAATAGCCGACCCACCCGTTAACACCCAGGTGCGGCCTGAGGAGAAGTTGTGTCAAGTCCTGAGCGCGGCCAGCGCAGACGACAGCAACAGCGTGCTTTGGCCCTGGGGGAGAATCGGAGGCCCCGGGACACGTGCGGTGGTCGCGGGTCAGGTGCACGCAGGCCGGGACAGAGCCGAGCCCGGGGCCGCGGCCCGCAGGCGGCCATGTTCACCGAGCTCGCCGCGCCGCAGGTGAGCTACCTTGGGGAAGACGCCGGGCTCGCTCCGCCACCGCGCCGCGCCAGCCGAGCCCCGGCCAGAGGGGCGCAGGGGTGACGGCCACGCAGGCACACAGCCCGGGGCTGCAACTTGGCCGGCCGGGAAAAAACACGCGGAAAGCAGCTGAGAGCGGGGCGGGGCGGGGCGGGGCGGGGCGGGGTTGGGAGCGGCCCGAGCCAATCGGCGGCGCCGGGCCAGGGGTCAGAGCCAATGGACCTGCAGCGCGGGCTTTTCAATTAAATTTTCCCGCCCAGTGGGGAAAAGACTGCCTATAAAAGGGTGCTGCGCGGGCCCGGGGGCGTCTTTAGGGTGTCAGCCGCTGAGCTCTTGAGCTCTCGTCCCCGTCGCCGTCCGCTATGGCGCGCACGAAGCAGACCGCCCGCAAGTCGACCGGCGGCAAGGCCCCGCGCAAGCAGCTGGCCACCAAGGCGGCCCGCAAGAGCGCCCCGGCCACGGGCGGCGTGAAGAAGCCGCACCGCTACCGGCCGGGCACCGTGGCGCTGCGCGAGATCCGGCGCTACCAGAAGTCCACCGAGCTGCTGATCCGCAAGCTACCCTTCCAGCGGCTGGTGCGCGAGATCGCGCAGGACTTCAAGACGGACCTGCGCTTCCAGAGCTCGGCCGTGATGGCGCTGCAGGAGGCGAGCGAGGCCTACCTGGTGGGCTTGTTCGAGGACACCAATCTGTGCGCCATCCACGCCAAGCGCGTCACCATCATGCCAAAGGACATCCAGCTGGCCCGCCGCATCCGCGGGGAGCGGGCCTAAGAAGCGCGAGCTCCGTTCCACGTCCGGTCGTACACAAAGGCTCTTTTCAGAGCCACCCACGGCGCTCCTTGGGAAGAGCTGTACCGCTTGTCCTCCGGGTTGGGGGGGGGGGGCGTTGGGGCCCGGAAAGCCTTGCTTAGGCCTAGGCTTAGGCTTCTGGCAGAGGTGGGAAGGACGTGTCCCTTGCTGCCCCGCCTCCTGGTCGCTACGCTCCTGTGGGCGGGCGGGGCTCGCCGCTGCGTGTTCCCGGCCCTGCTCCTTTGCGGCACTCGCGGGCACTAGCACAGCCACACCCAGGTGCGTCCCTTGCGCTCCCTGTTCGGCCGCCTCGCGGTGGGAAAAGCGGCGGCCGGGACAGCGGGTCCTGGGGTAGGAGCCTCGGTTACCAGCGGGCGCTCAGGATTTGTGGTCCGCAGGGTCCTTAGGTTGGACTGAGCAGGGTGGAGCCAGGAGCTCTGAAGGAGGACCGTAGGCCGCGGGAAGGATCTGAGGTCCTCGGTTACAAGGGGCCTCTCCTGTCTTGTCCGCGAAGTGCAGTGGTTGAATTGGGCTGTCTTCTCCTGGGATGAGCGCTGTGCCCGTTTGTCGGACGTGTTTACCCGTCCCTCAATCCTGCCTAAATGACTTAACGGGGCAGTACTCTGCGAGTTGTGCTTTTTGGAGGGAACCCCCGCCCCAAGTCCTGGTTCAGTGGGTGTTCGGAATTTGGGGGCTCGGTTCCCCGTGCAAACTGGCCCACACTCTGCAGTAGCATGTGGTGCCACTCATCGACTCCTCATATTTTGTTAGAGCTTGTGCGGACTCCTGAGGAGTTTCCCCTGTGTTTTTCATTTTCGATATTCCCAGCATCGATTGTTGTGAGCTTTCTCTTTTCCGGATCTTGCCAGAAGATGGTGGTTCCCGGTCTATTATCCCAACACAACATGGCCAAGTAATGCCCCAGGTACTTCCGGATAGGCCCGGGCCAGGTGTGGGATCCATGTGTCTGCGAGTTTTAAGAGTCCGGGCCTGAGCATGGTCAAGATGGCATGGTGCTTGGGCTTCAATGACCGCCGTAACCCAGGCCACTTTCTGAGAGCTAGAAGCTGGGCAGTATCCTTCCCTGCTCTTGTGTATACCGCAATACCTCCTGGAAGACATATCGCCTGAGATGCAGCCAGGAGCTGTGTAAGTATTTGCGAGGTTGTGTGTGGCCCAAGGCTCTGAGTTCAAATTCCTGGGTGGCACTGAACATATGTCCCTCTCCCCTACGGCATCTTACCTCAGAAGCTGTGAATTCAGCCTGAGGTTGGCTTCGGGAGGAATTCCTCGCCAGGTGAGAGAAGTCAAAGACTAGCCTGTTTTGGCTAGGGAGACGGGCAAAGATCTTGAACACTACAGATGCGCCTTAACTCTGCACCTAGAAAGGGCCAGCGATTGTGTTTGTGTCTCAGTACAGCTGATGGGTAAAAGCATCGGCAAGAATTCACAGAGGGGTAGAAATGAAGCAGAAAGACTTTCGAAGTTTTTACTCTTCAAAAAAGTGCAGAAGGGAGAGAACTGAGAGGACTGTGTCCACTCCAGGAGGTTCCTGTTTTTATTTCTAGTCTCAAGGATTTTCAGAATAGGTTGTTATGGGCTGAATTATGCCCACTCACCCCCAGTAATATGTTGAAGGCCTTCCCTTAGTTCCTCAGAATTCGACTGTATTTGGAGATAGGATTAAGAGGTGATTAAATTGAAATGGAGCCATCAGGGTGGGGCCTAGTACAGAATGACTGGAGTCTTTATGAGAAGGGAGGTTCAGCACACAGGGAGGAGCGTGTGGAAAAGCCAGCATTTTGATGTTGGCTTTATAGCCTCCAGAATTGTGAGAAAATAAATTTGTGTTACTAAAGCTGTGGGAAGCTGGGTGTGGTGGTGCACACCTATATTCCCAGCACTTGGGAGGCTGAGGCCAGCCTGAATTACATAGTGAGTTCAAGACCAGCCTGGACTCCACAGTGAGAGCCTGTCTCAAAAACAAAACAAAAATAAACAAATAAATAAAGCTGTGGTGGTGTTTTGTTGTAGTCGCCAGCTATGATTTGGGTATGGTTTGAGATATGTCCCCTGAAAGTTTCATGTGTGCTGAAAGTTGTGCCACCACAAAGTTGTATGTGGCCCCCAGGGTATCATGTTGAGAAGTGGTAGAACCTTCAGGAAATGGGGCCTAGTGCAGGGTAAGTAGCTCACGGGGACATCACCCTGGGAAGGGTTTAATGCTAGTCTTATGGAATTAGTTCTTGCAAGAGCTGGCTATTATAAAAGTGAGAGCTCCCCACATGCTTTTCCCCTTCTGCGCTGGCTATTCACCATATTTGACACAGCCAGGAACCCCTTTTCAGGACACCACTGTCAGAATTGTGAGCCAAATAAACAGCTTTATAAAGTACCCAGCCTCCGGTATTTTGTTATAGCAACAGGGAATGGACTAATACGTGACCCTAGAAAACTAATACAGGTCCCTGGGCACTCAGACAATGGGGTCCTTGGAATCTGTACTCAATTATTTGCAAAAGTGGCAATAACGTAGAGCCGTATGGGTATAGAACCTTTGCATCCAGCATCTCATCACTGAAATTTGCTATCAATGGTGCAACCCAAAGTTCTCAGAGGATAAATGACTTCCCAGTGTTTCAGAGCTGGGCAGACCCCTGCTTGTCCCTGAGTATGTAGGTTTTTCCATGTCAGAGCATTTGCCCCCGGTGGTCATTTACCCTGAACTGAACCAAAACTAAGGCAGATTTAAAAGCAAAATGCCAAGCAACCTAAAACAGCAACAATATCCACGACCTGCATGGTCCTGGGATTTGAGGACAGCCTGCACATGTCATGGATAAGGCAATTCAGTTGCCCCTAGCTTAGTGAAAATAGCCAAGTCCTGCCTTCACTCTTCACTTTCTAGCCACTTCTGCCCCTCCTGCTGACGGAGGAGTGCTCACCAAACTCAAAGATAGAAGGGCAAAAGAAGGAAAGAGGGAGGAATACTGGGCAATCCGAGGCCTGGCCTCTCTGGGCTGCTATGGGACCATGGAAGCCCTCCCGGCTTATTCTTTTATTTCCTGTCAAAGATGGCTCTTAAAGACAGGGCCAGCCTCATATTCTGCCTTTCAGGGCAGATACACAACAGAGGTTCTGGGCTTGGACCATGAAAGAGTTCCAGAGTTACCACTTGGTCCCACTGAGCTCCCTGCCCCTCACAGAAGGAGGAGAACAACAGGGTATATATTACACTGACTTTCTGAGGAAGTGTGGCCTATCTGACCCAGTCCCCCTCAGCCTGGAGCAAGGCCTTGGCAGGATATTGCTGCCTTACCTATCAGCAGCCATTTTAGAGATTTGGCAACAGACTCTAATTCTCACTGTGATTCGCTGAGACTCAGGTATTCTCCAGAACCTTCAGGATTCCTAAACTGCCACAGGAAATTTAGCGACAGCATTTATGCCTTTTTGGTAAGAGGACAAAGTTGACATTCCTGCCACTATTCTGTGAAGGACAAACTTCCAAGGCCTAATAAGAAAACATTTGGAATAGTTGTGTTAGTTTGAAAAACTGAAGCAAACTAGTACCCAATTTTTTTAATGCCCATATCAAAATCTAATTATTCAGGTACATAAGTAGTTCTGTGCTTGCAGGTTAAAAATAATCAAGCAAAAAGCAATTCACAGACTCTTGAAAATTCTCATGACATCAGGCCTGCTTCTAGGAAAAGTCTTCCCTGGAACTTGTGTTGTTAATTGGATCTGAGTCTCAATAATGCTGACACTGGCCTCAGCTAAGGCAGTGATAGAAGGGGACAGAGATTAAATGACAGATATGAGGGAATCACAGAAGGTAGGCTGAATAAGATTTGGCCATGTAGGCATTTTGGAGAATGCAAGAGAAGGAGCTTCTGGGATGAGAAGCTAGGAGATAAAGATAGATTTTACTAAGGTGGGAAATTCAGGGAGCAGAGATTGCTTTTAAAACCAAGAAGATGCATGAGGCTTTCCCTGACATTGAGATTGATGTTATCTACCACAATGTACCCATCGGGAGTTAGCAATATTAGTCCATTAAATGAAGAGGCTTCACTGGACATATCTGCAGGGAAGCCCTCAGAAGACAGGGAATGGCGTGAGATCCACCCAGGGTTATGGAGGAGATGACTGAGGCACACATCCCGAGCAAGCAGAAACACTGAGGGGAGTTAGCAGGAGAGAAATTGGGAGGGGGTGAACATCACCAGAAGAGTGTCCTGAGTGCCTCTGGGTCTCTGCAGCAAGGAACCTGTCCCTGGCCTCTTTGGTCCTCAGTTCTTTGTGCTCTTGATAAAAAAATATTCAGTCAAGACACATAGGCAGCTGTGCAGAAGTAAAGGTGGAATTTATTGTGAAGTAAGTAGAGTTACATCTTCCATTTATAAGGTGGGCACCACCACGAAGGCATCTACTAGAGACTGGATACCGTTTTTATGCACACAAGAGTAACTCAGAGGGTTCCAGCAATAGGGTAATTACATTTTTTATTGATGGTTTCACTTAGAAGTTACTTTGGAATTGCAAAATGTCTTCCTGTCCTTTTTAGATAGTCAGTGTTTCCTCGGGGGCCTTAATCACATAAGAAACTTGCAAAGGAATTTATGAAAGACAGGTTCTTAGTTGAAACCAGGCCCAGCCCAAGGCAGGAGGATCTTTAAAGAACGTTTCCCTTCCCCAGGTCACTGGGCTGTAGGCTGTGGCAGCCAGGAATGCCGGATGCCTTGTTGTGGAACTAGCTGGCCAGGAATCGGAAGACTGCTCAGTGTGTGATCTTACAATGTCACTGTGCACCGTGGGTCACTTAAGGCCTGAGACCTGACTAATGGTTATAAATGTTTTATACACTGGAGTCTCTGCATACTATTTTGGCCCCTCAACTGCTTGGCCCTCAGGCCTGCTAATGTCAGAAGGCGAATGTGGTATCAACGGGGCCACATTGTGCACTGAAGTTTAAAAATAACAATCTATATTAACTAAACTCAGTGAGTGCCGACCACACTTTATATCTCACATCTCTCTTTTACATTTTTAAAATTTTTTTATTTCTTGGTTTTTTGAGACAGGGTCTCGCAATGTAGTTCAGGCTGGATTTGAATTAACTGTGTAGCCCAGGCTGGCCTTGAACTTGTGGCGATCCTCCTGCCTCAGCCTCTCAAGTGCTGGTATTACAGGCATGCACCACCACACCTAACTCCATCTCTTTTATTTACCATGATAACCCTGCAAGGCAACGGATGTTTATCATTCCTGTGTACAGACTAAGAAGTTTTGAGCATTTTGCCCAAGTTTCCACTGTTAAGTCCCTGGGCTAGGGATTCTGTCCAAAGTGCAGGACTCTAAAGTTCATCTCCTTAAGCACAAAACACCAAATGAAGAGCTCATATTGGAAGCTCAGAGAAGAAGTAACAGGAGGTACATGATACACAGGTCAAGGGTCTCTGATTCGGTTCCCTCTTCTCTACCTGCTGACGCACTGCACACCTGATCTCATCAACATCTAGGAGAGAAAATCTTCCACCTTGCTCCACGGATGAGCTTGTCACTCCTGTGCTTTAAAATCTTTCCATGCTCTCACCCTGTTAACTTCATAATCACACACACACACGCGCACACACACACACACACACACACACACACACACACACACGTCACAGTCAGTGCAAAGAAGCAGAAACTAAGCACTAAGTCACACACCTGGGCTGAGTCCTGGCTCTACCTCCCGCTTGTTATGAAAGGAACAGCCTGAAACCTGCCCCATGGTGTTGTACGGAGATGAACAAAGAACTAGTTCCCAGGTAGTGAAAAGCAGTGTCTTGTCCAAAATGAGGAGAAAAATGTAATACTATCATTTATTAACTATTCAGGAAAAGTAAAGCAATTTCAAGTGTAAATCTCTTAGCACTCCTAAGCTATAAACTTCCCGGACTCATGATTAGATGTTCCCGAGCTACGCCCTCAGCTGCTCCGGTTTGCTCTGATCCTACCCAGTGTCTGTAATGTCCACCTGTGCCACGGTTTGGCAAATTCTGTTTTCTGTCCAGGCATCTTCCTGTCCTTCACAGGCCAGCTCTCTACTCTTCAGGATTCAAACCCTGGAAGCTTCCTCTCCTGTGCCCCATGCAGCCACTGAGAGCATTCTCCTCAGGATCTAAGAAGCATACCCTGCCCTCTATTTTAGCAGCTTCTCTGGGATTCATTTATGCCTCCTGATAGATTCAGAGTCCCTTCACAGTAAGTATTTCACCTGGTTCATCTCAGTACATCAGCATCCTGACTGTGCCTGGAGTACGATAGTCAGTCGGGCATGCCTAAAGAGGGCCCAATTCCACTAACCTTCGGATTTTCACTTAAAAGGTCACAATCCCCAGATCTCTCCCAGCTCTCAGGAATTTGCAGGCCAGAGGAAGTCCAACCTGACTCTGGAAGGAATTCATCCAAGTTGGCCGAGGAAGGGGAAAGGAGGTTAGCTAGCCTGTGCTGAACCCCTTGCCAATAAACGGCTAAAGTCCACCATTACCTGCTTTGGTGCTCTGAGCTGCACACAGCGTTTGAAGGGAATGCTTCAGGGAGGAGTGCACACTTGTGGTAAACTGAATAATGACCCTCTGGAGAGATCCACACCCCAGGGCCTGGAATCGATGTTACTTTATATAGCAAAGGGACTGTGGGTGTGAGTAAGTAAGACTTGAAATGGCAAGCATACAAGGATCAGTGGAATGGATCCAGTAATCAAGCTCTTACTTTAGGGAAACAAGAAGGCCAATGAGGGAGAAGGTGATGCAATGATACAAGCAGAGACTGGAGCAACTGTCCAGGAGCAAAAACCTGCCTGAAGTTTCTAGAAGCTGAAGAGTCAAGGAACAGACCTCCTCCTGGACCCACCAGAAGTAACTAGTCTCTGGTACATGTTTTGGCTGCCAAAGACTTGTTTGGGGCTTCTGACCTCCAAAACTAGAAGAGAGTCCATTTAAGCTGCTTAAACCACAAAGTTTGTGGTAATTTATTAAAACAGCAATGGAAAACTAATTCGCCATTTTCACACTCAGAAAAGACACTAGAGCTTTGTATTTGGAATGAGGGAGATTTGAATGTGATCAAAGGCAGAAGGAGAGGAGGAAGAGGGATCAGGAATGAGACTCCGAGCCCACAGTGATCCTCTCTGGCTGCAGACTGGCTCTTCGTGGCCCTGACCAGCTTCCCCGGTTTAGCCCAGAGTTTCCCAAAACATCTCTTACCTTTGAAAGTGGCACTGAGTTCTCAAAACTGTTGGCCTTCCCAAGTATGGTAGATAATCGTGGTGTCAACTTGAATGGGTTAAGAAACACCTAGCGGATTAGTGGAGCATG